GAGAGTGGGAGTGTTGGTGGGTTGTCAATGTAATATGTTTTCTCTCCAGTGTGAGAGTGTGGAGTGATGGTGTAGGGTGGTATGTATATGGGAAGTGGTTGTATGCTTTTTAGGAACCCTTTGGTTATTTTGCTTTTGAGGGGTTAAGAGAGAATTGGGAGAGGATTGTTGAGGGGGCAAAAAAGAAAAAAAAAATCTTTTTTATTTAATTATTTAATGGATGTGGTGGGGGCTGTTCTTTACTTGTAGGGGAGGTTAAATTGAGGGTCCAATTGCATGCATCTTTCCAAGTTGAACTTCTTATATATCATCAGCGTTCAGAGCTATTATACACAGGAAAAACAATCCGCGTGTTCCTCTTATGTGCGTACTTTCATTATACCAAAAAATTTACCAACAAATAACGTGCATACGCAAAAACAACGTGTGATAATATTTGTGTGTGCTTTGTGAACCATTTCTGTTGTTGTTATTATGCTTGCACTTCATATTTGGATGCTCTTGAATGAAAACTTGCGGTGATATTCCACCTTTCCTGTTAAGGAAATTAAAAGAATAAGTATCATGAGTCGTCATACAAATTAATGTGAGATTTTATTTTGATCTTAGAGTAAACTCAATATACAGTTAAACTTCTTTTCATAAAAGCATATATACTAATATCTTCTATTAATTGCTTATTTTATCAGGACGGACCATTATCATTGTTGTTTCACTTGGACAATGGCGAGCTCTGTGCTATCAGGTAATGAGCATTCTTAGAATTTAATTTAGCTCATCATATGTTTTTTTTGGTAACAATGTAGCTCATCATTTCTTCGTGTAATTTGTACTTTTATTTTATGTTGTGTTTCTTTAGTAAAACAGGTAGAATCTTGAGTAGGGCTAAGCATGGTTTGGTCCAAACCGAAAAAACCGACCCGAACCGACCCGAACCGACCCGAAAAAATTGGTTTTATGAGTAGGGCGGTTCGGGTCGGTTTGAAAACTTTTTAACCCGAACCGACCGAATATAGTGTAATACTACCCATTCTGATCTCAAACCCTACCCGACACGTCCCCAAAGAGTCAAAAACTCAAACCCTAAACTAATTTTCTGAATCATTATGGGTTGAAAACAATATCATTATATCAATGTGTAATGCTTCATAATCTCCTACTTTGTTGATAACTTTTTTTTTTCTTTAACACAATTTGTTGTTTGATAAAAAGTTTCATGAAGTTAGAACCGAACAAACCGAACCGAACCGCACCGAACCGACTTGCAACAATTCGGTTCGGTTTTGAATTAGAGACGGTTTGGTTCGATTGTTCAAATTTTAGAAAAAACCGAACCGAACCAGACCGTTGCACACCCCTAATCTTGACTAAGAAAAAGATTTCATGGAACTTTCATAAAGAAAGAAAATCTTGATTCCCGGCAGCATGATTTGCATACGATGCATGGAGAGGAAGTGGGCCTTCTCTCACTTGCATCTTTTTCTGGGCCCACAAAAATGAACCACAAAATCTATTTTATTACTGTCACCAATTTATCTCCTCTAAAAACGTAGGTCCAACTCTGCTCAAGAAAGAATCGGGAACTGTGTACGGCTTCTTTCTTTGTGGACTCAAAGAACAAGGAATAAAGGGTCACTGAGGGCCTTAAAAAAAGCCCATAAAATGGATATTTAGCCATAGGCAGTTTAGCATAGAATCTCTCTCTCTCATAAAAGCTCAAGCTTTTAATTGTCTACAGTTTCCGTAAAAGCCAAGTGAACAGAATAACTCGGTCACTTCCAAGGTGGCTGGAAATAGTTATAATAGACAGCTGAATAATTGATCACAATTTTCCAAATAATGTTAGCAATTAGCATATGAAACACACTGTAACTAGAATAATTGATCATAGGTTTTTATTTTGAACATATATCTAATATGAAAGAGCCACGTTTCGGTAAGAGGATCATTTGTTAAAAAAAAAAAGCATGCCATGAGAAACGAATGATTTATAATAATTAATTGAGAAAATCCTTGTAGTTTATATGAGGTTTTTTCCAACTTACCCAACATTATACGTAGCAAACATAATGATTATTTGTTTAATCATAACGACCATGATTGGTTAAGTAATCATACCATTATAGTGGTGTTTTTAGAGATTGGGGCCAGATTTTGTAATGGCGCATTGCCTTTTTTTTTTTTTTTAATGGAGGACTAAGACAAATTATTAAAGGATATTTACCTTGTTAAGGACCATTAAGTGTCGGCGACCGGTCGTCAATAGCGTGCCAATTTTGCATGGAAAGCAGTGCTCCACCTTAGAATTGGTGGGGTTACCAATTTAATCACGAATATTACTGTGCACGTTTACCAAGAGATCTTCTTTCATTCCTCAATCATCTTTTCATCTCCCGTTTCTTTGTTTTATTATCATAAGCGCAATTATCATGGATCAAACCCTGACATAAATCTGCATTTATTATGGATATTTATATAATGAAAACAGCTTTAATTTAAAAGATCATGATAAGTAAAAGAGATTGATAGGAATTTGACTCATTGATCATGTGTTTAGAAAGAGAAAAAGTTATGCATACCGTAATACGTATGGACATATGTTTTGTCAGGTTATTTAGATTAGCGATAACTATGCTATAAGCGCTAAACTATTTTCGTACTACAAGAAACAAAAATATAACATCCTAGACGACTAAATTTTTTTGACACGACCAGCGGATCTCTATTCCCGACACTTTTTTCAGTGTGATTATATATGCATGCTGATAACATCTATGTCATTATACGTACGTTGCTTAATTAGCTTACTTTGTAAGTTAATTCTTGCGAGGAGTTTGTGAAATTATGACTCGTATTCGAAACAGAATGTGCTACTAAGGTCTAGAAAAGATTTTAACAACATTAGGCTTTATTATTATTATTATTATTATTATTATTTATCTTCTCTCTTTTTCTCTCGAAAACTGGGTCATTTTTATTATAAGCTGCAAAATGTGCTTCTTTTTCTTTTCAAACTAATCTTAGTCACAGTCAAAAGTTTTGATCCTAGATGGTCCTAAAGACACATAAAAGGGTATCCTTAATAATTAGGAAGGTAAAAGTACCCTGCGATGCTACAAAAGGAGTGAAATTAAAATACAGAAGAGAAATACTATTAAAGGAATTTCCCCCCCTAACTGTTTACCAACTGTTGAATGATTTGGACATAGTAGGCAATTCTACTAAAGTAAGGGGTTTAATTGGCAATGAGTGTTAGCATTAGTCTTTAATAACAATATCAAGTATCTTTATGTCTCCAATCGAGCTCTTTCACTTCAGGGGCCGTCTTTAAAGTAAAGCGCCCTTACAAAGCAACATTAAAAGCATTATGTGGCATTATCTGCTAAAAAGTTCCCCTCATTTTAATGCCATCTTCATCAAGCATCTTAAAGGGGCTTGTTTGCTTATATGTGGCCACGTGACTAAAAGCAACATAATTGAGATGAAGGATGCTAATCTCTCATTGCCTAAATCAACATCTACTCCTCTATACAAACGGGAGAACCCAAGATTCACTATTCATACCACAGCAAATACTACAGTAACGTTAATACTGTAGCAAACATGAAACCAGCCATTGTTCTTTGAAAAATATTATTTCTACACACGGGAATATTGTAGCAACCCAAAAATTTTAAAAATATTGTAATAGTTAAAACCGAGATTACTGTAGCAGGGGGAAAAAAAGGGGTGTTCACACTAGTTTAGATAGAAGAGAGAAAAATAAAAACTTAATTAAAGAAAGGCTTGTCACCCTAAAAAGCTTATGGAGTTAACCTATCTCACACTCTTCTCATGGCGAAAAGTACAGCTATTAGAGATCGATAGGGGGTAAAAAAGGTTAGTGCCTTAGTGGAGATTACTGCTATGGCAACAGGGTAAGTAAAAGCTTAATTGATGTGATCTTTTTAGTTTTTCCTCCTTGCGCTAGGTGACGACGCTGTACCTCCATTTCTTTCTAATCATCATAATCAGCCTATTTTTTCCTTTTACTTTCTTTTTTTTTTGGGGCCCTTTTTTTTTTGGTTGCGGTCCAATTTGGTTCAGAATCAGATATATGGGTATCAATGGCTGAATTTCTAATTTCTATCAAAAATGTGTTGAATAACATCAAGTTGGTTCAGAATCAGATATATGGGCGTAAATGAATAAATTCTCACGATAAAGAAGAAAGTACATATAACCCAAACTGGGCGTACAAGACATACAAAAGCTAAGAAAAGGTAACAAATATGTCTAATATACACAATGATAGGCATGAGGAGATTTTACACATACTGGTCAAGCATATTCTATAGATGAGACCAAAGAACCAAGATCACTCGCACTAGCATAATCTCTGCCTCGCTTTGTTCGCAATTCAACTCAAAAATGACTCATAAAATTTCGCCTCAAATAATACCACAGGAGATCTAAGAGGAACAAAGTTCAGTTGGGCTTAGTATAATCTGCTTCGTTATGCGTCAGCAGCAGGAGAGTAGAAATAACCAGGATCAGGTTCGACAATTTTCTTGACAATTCAACTCAAAAATGACTCATGAATCCTACCAGAACTAATATGTGACGGGAGACCAACAAGAAATAAGCGAGCCACCTTTACATGATCTTGTACCAATGTCACAAACAACCATTCACAAGGACCACGGTTTCATCACAACCTCCTCGCTTTACAATTGTTCTCTTGCTCTCTTGCGAGCCAAAAACCGCTCCCTTGCGGCAGCAACTGCATCTTCACCTCTCTTATATACTTCTGCGGTTTGCTTGGGTGGCTCTTCTTCAGTTGTTTCGGCTTTTTCTTGCACATTTTCAGCACCCACCTCGGACGCAGTTGCTGTGTCTTGACTCTTAGTATGGTATTTTTGCTCGGCTTGAAGATTAACCTTCTCTGCTTCTTGAGCAGGATGTGTGGTTACTTTAGGTCTTGAGCTGCCTTCAGTTTGTTGGTTATAATCGATTGTTCCTTCTAGTTTTGAAGGAGGCTTTGTAGATTCTTCGGACCCAGCACCAAATGCCACGTTCTTGTTTAGGCCGAAATAAAAATCGCTCAGATCCTTCTTCTTGGTTACCTGGACAACAAAACATGGTAAGCTCACACTAACTGTAGTGCAAAATTGTTGAATCCAACAACGTCCAAATCTGATAAGCTCTTTACAAGATCATCCTGGTCGCTTCATGGATATTAGGTAGCATTGTGAAAGTGAAGCCATGCCTTCATTTTTCAGAAGTGAAAGAGAAAGGGAAAATGAGACAAGAAACAGGAATTTAAGGGTTATGGAATATGAAACAACGGAAAGTGTAGTGTAGGGTGAGGAGATTATGGTATCCACTTTCCACACGCCTGGTTGAGGTTGGAATTTATTCAGGACTTGCATCAAAGTGCAACTAGATTCAAAATAATGAACAGTCGTATGCAAAAAAAAAAAACATATCAAAACAGACAATAATAGGCCATCATTAACCCAATTTATCTCCTTCCTTTCTAATCTCAGTTCTGTTCCAATTCAACTAAAAACGGTGTTACTTAGATTCCATGAAGAATTAGCAACATTATACAACCAGTTGGCACCTTCCATCATTCCTCTTAAAGATGTACCTAATTCCTTGCAGAGGATACTGTGAATGAAAAAATAGCTTTCCATACATCTGAAAACACTCGGCAGGTATTAAAAATCTAACATATCCGTGGAGTGGTAGTATAGGCTCATGCAACCAAGAGGCAGTATTGAAAAATCCACTAAAATGCCTAAACAACAGCCAAAAATGACAGCTTCAATATGCACAGCTACACTGCATGAGATGCAGATACATCCTTAGAGATTGCATTTCAAATCTGTTCAACTAAAGCTCCTAATTGAGGTAAAACAACTAGATTGTAGATATCAACTGTCCAGTTAAATTTCATTCGAAAGATCTCTACCAAATAACTTTCTAGCTTATCTAGAATTAACCTCTTCTCTAAATAACCACCTAAAGACTGAAAAAAAAACTCAAATTTAGTGACTCAAGAGTAGATTGCATCAAGAACCATTATAGTTGCATCAGCTGCAACATCAGACCTTGAATCCTAACTAGGACTGGAAACAAATTCAACCAGGTCGAATACTGAGGTGTTGATATTTTAATCAATTGGTTAGAATGATCAAGACAGAAAGTCAATGAATAAAATGTTCAAGTCACCATAATATATATTAATAAATGTGACGTGACACCAAGGAGTGGCTCAGAGCTAAGAGGCGGGGTTGAATTGAAAGCACAGGTTCAGGTCCACGGGACTGCGAGATATCACCAAGTTTGTGCATAGCGAAGGTGATCAAATATAAAGAACAGACAATAGCAATCTATTGCACTAAAGAAGAAAGACAGGTAAAAAAATGTCGATTATATCTAACTGACATATATTGGCAAGACATCTGCTTTAAGGGGCAGTTACAAGGAAGTAGGAACTGCAACTTTAATAATGGCATATATGTTAGAAATAGAAAATAAACTAAACCCCTAATCTGAAGAACTTCCCGTTTTACAGTTCAACAGAAAAAAATAAAATGCGAAAGAAATCATGTGATGTTTTGCAAATAATCAACTATTATATTCATACGGTGACAGTATTAATGAAAACAATGAAAAGATAATTAAACTTACATCTTCTTTCTCCTCACGAAGTTGGCGTAATCTCTCTTCTTCTAGCCATTTTGCACGTTCTGCAAGCTTTTCCTTGTAAGCTTTTGTTACAAACTTCTCCTTGTCAGCAAAGAGGTGATCCTCTTTGCTTCTCTCTTTCAATATTTTCTTCTCATATACTATTTCATGTTCACGTTCCCGCTCTTTTGCTTTTTGCATCAGTGTTTCTATATATTTTGACTGTCATAAAGTGTAAGGGTAAACTTGAAAAACACACAAAAATGCAAATAGAGAACATATAAGATGTTGAGCGAATAATTGTAACAAAATTCATGTTCTATGTAATAATATCTTTCAACTAACTGACTAACATAAGAATATGAGGATCCTTAGGCTTTTACACCACTGCTTTCGTGCACTTTTTACTGCGACATAAAGCGACACTACATTTGAGCTACTAATATTCATCCATAGAACTAAAAATCCATAATAAACTAATAAATATAACAAAAAACAGATAAAATGTTGAGGATCCTAAAATTAGCATCCAAAAGAAGTGGTGACTGCTGTCAAGCACAAGCTGAAGATATATAGTTCATGAAAGGTTGTAATCAAGTCAGTAACTAATAGATGTTTGACACTAAACAATTCAGAAGAACCATGAAAATGTAAATCCAACAACTAAGTGCAAGTACTTTTGACTCTTACTCCCCAGTAAACGTGTGGAGCTCTGGAAATATCCATTTGAATATTAGAAGAATATGTTGATTATTGAAGGTCTCCAACTATTTCTTTGACTTTTAACGTCACCGATGTAAAATGCAACTTCCCATATAAACATTATGTTTTGTCCCTCTTAGACTCTGTATGCCAAGAGGAATTCATACGATTGAACTGTATACAAATAAGTTTCTTTCCAACTCATCTTCGGTTAACTCAAACCTTCTCTAGCCTATCACCCCTCTCTAGCCTATACCTTGCCTATAATATCATTGGCTAAAACTTCAGTAGCAGCTCACGTGCAGATACCCGATTGACAGATAATTCAGTAGATTTTTCCAAGTGGAAGGCTTCGATAAAGCTGATCCGAGCCACTCACATAAAAGAGAGCAATCTGAAACATCAACTAATCATCACTTCCCTTTAAAAAGTTTACTAAAGTACATTAAAAGGCATGCTTCACAAAGGGGTTCTGCTCCAATGAAAAAGGGCTAGATTATGAATTTCATCAGCATGAAAAAAAAACTAGTTGTACTTGTACACGATCATGGTGCAAGTTTTCAAATGCATTATGGAGGCAGTAGCATAATATACTCCACAGAAGTCAGCCAATGCTAGTTAAGGCTACAATAACCTAGACTGTACCATCTAGTAGTTTTTGTTAATCTCCTCAAATCAAAGGGTTAACCATAAAAAACCATAACTTTAACCACCCAATCTCTAACACTATGTACACCAAAATATTATAACTTGCCACAAATAAACAAGTTCGGAAAAAGATGTTAGGAAGGTGTTCTGATTTTCAAGGAGGACACTAAGGCAATCCACTTCTATTCAGTCCCAAAAAATCGCTTCTTCATTGTAATGGGATCATCCACATCAAACCCTCCATCCCGACTGTTATGCACCAGGCTTGGATGCTTTGTCCTTGCACTTCTAAAAATTTCTGCTTGAAATCTTTGGCTAATAAATTTAAGAGGATCAGTTAGTGAACGGGGACGAGCTGAGAATTGCTTTTCCACGAGGCAAGTTTCATCTGGACAGCTTATAGTTTATGGAAGTATAGCGCCTTTACATTGAAACTTCTTAAAATTATGCTACTAAAATCTGATCAAAGGAGGATCGAAGTTTTTGTTTTCTAAAAGAATTTCAAGGTTATCTTCTACGGTTCCACCGCCAACACTCTTAAAATCAAACAACTCGCAAAGAAATCAAACAACAAAGGAAAACAAACCTTTCGCTCAGTCTTATCCTGAACGCGAGGCCGTGCAATCTTCTCCTTCATCTCATCATAATGCCCGTCATAATCAAACACCGATGGATCCTCCTCCAGCGCTTTCTTGTGCACCTCCTCTACCTACAGTAAAAGAGCAATTTTCATGCTATTGAATAAAAGAAAAGGAGATTAAATCAATAGCTCAAAGGGTTAATTGCACTTTAACACCCTAAAGTTTAAATCTTTTTTTTTAACTTTGACACCTGAAGTCATCACCCTGGAAAAGTATTTAGTCCATTTCTTCAATTATCCACACGCAAATGACTAAGGTTTGAAGCTTTGGGTTATTTTTCGAGCAAATTTGAAGTCTAGGGTATAAAAGTTAAAACTTGGTTTTAAAAAAATTAGGGTATTAAATTGAAATTAGCTAGCCCTAATTTAACAGTAAATTACCTTTTGAAGAGCTCTGGTCTTGGCCGCTTGGCGAGAGATCTCCCTCTCAACGTCGTCTTCGTCGTCGTCGTCGCCTTTGAAAGCGAAGGCCGGAGGAGGAGCAACGGGGGGCTTCGACGACTTCTGCTTCTGTTGCGCCGGAGGAATCCGAAGCTGGAGTCCGTACTTCTTCATCGATCGGATTGAAGAAGAAGGATTTCGTAGGGTTTTTTTTTTTTTTTTAGCTGAATCAGTGATCAGAGTTTTTTTTGAAGGGTTAGGGCAAAAGAAGCGGGGACTTTTATTAGAGGAAGAAAGGGGTTGAGACGTGAGGGTAAATCCTGGGAAATGCTTTTTGAGGATTACGGTTTCCATGTGGATACTGGGCCTGTCCTTGACTGTTCACAACCCATTTACAACGTCATTACAGGCTATCCACTTAAATGGGCCCGTTGGTAGGCCTTAACCTTAGAGCTTGTTCCGAAATATTTCTCCTTAAAAAAAAAATTCGAAGTAAAAAAATTAGAGTGGCACTACAGGCACACCTTGTGCCACACCTTCAGCCACACTCCCCTCTCTTTGCTACAGTAACCGGGCCTACATGAGGTTTATTTTATAAACCTCATGCGGGCCCGGTTACTGTAGCAGAGAGAGGGGAGTGTGGCTGAGGGTGTGGCACAAGGTGTGCCTGTATCATTTTTGAAAAAATTATGTTCCCAGTAGTTGGCAGGAGTCAAGATCCTACCAGATCACACTATATAGAATGGTATGATTTACACCGTTTTCGAGTTATTAGAGGGTTAGTTTAGAAATTGTAGTTATTTTATCAATAATGTAAATTATCATATTCTTGTAGGGGCGACTCTTGTAGGATTCCTACTAAGCAACAATGTAGTTCAAAACACAGAATTTGCTTCAGTACCAAATTTTGCAAGTTCTTTTATTGATTGAAAAATTAATAAAATAATTTCACCTCATCAAGTTAGTTGAAACAATTAGAAAATGAACACCAGTTTACATTTTGGATTACACACACGCACACACACATATATATGTATGTATACCTATATACATACGTACATACATACATACATATATAAAATCGCATAGTTTTTGATAGTACATATTTACAACAAAATATGCCAAAAAAAAAACCAACAACTTATCAATCAATTACTAGATTTTGCTTTGAATATATTTCCTACAATAAAAATTTAAATATCCAAATGACAGAATGAGCTTAATTTCTTGCAACATTTGCTGCATTTACAATTGCAGCATATACTAACCAGCCCTTAAAATAGAAACACAGCTGAACATTTCTCAAGTAAATAGAAATTAGTAGTATTAACAAATAAAGGTATGAACAATGTGCGTCCCAAAATGAAGAGAGTAGTCCATCATCAATTATAATACACTACAAAAAGGAACTGCCCTCAAGCGAATACCATGAACTGTTCTTTAACAAGTAATAATATTTGACATCTGCATCATCAGTCATAATGCAAAGACACAAAAATGAAACCTAAACAGCTTCTAAATGATAGTATCTGAACAAAATTAATCGTCTTGAGGGAGCCAAAACAAAACTGGTGCAGCACAAATCATTTTAGCCTGTGGCACTTAGAAAGTCGTCAAATAAAATGCTGGACCTTACAGCATCCAACTGGAGTTTCTTCACCTCGTCAACATTCTGACATTGCTCTAGAGGTTCACTGTCTAGAAGAACATCTGCGGATTGAAAGGGAGAAGGCGTTGCTGTAGGATTATGAGCAACCGTGCTGACATTTGATATATCTGTGTGCTGAAAAGGGGAAGCCTCAGAGATAAAATTATGACATACTGTATTGACATTTGGCATAAATGAGCATTTGGAAGGTGAAGCATTAGAAGCGAATCCAGTGGAAATTTTCAGAGGCGAAGTAGACAATGCTGGCCTGCATTGACATGTGACATAAATGTTGGTTGCAAAGGCGAAGGTTCGGGTATAGATCCCTTGCAACTATTAGGATCGATGTTCCCTTCAAGTGTATGTTGGCAAGACGAAGCTTTAGGAATAGAGTCCCTGGAAGTATTTGGAGGCAGAATTCTACAAATCTCTGATGGAGGATCAATCTGTCCCTTTAAAATGCGCTCATAGAGTAACCAGTCAGGTGCAGCTCCGAAAAGGTCGATAGTATTTTTCTGATCACTGCAAGATTTAACCATTTCATTTTCTTTCGTTATGTGTCTCTGAAATACAAAGTGGCCACTGTTATTTATCTTGTCACCAACAGGTCTCTGCACTTCTTCACTTTCCTGGATGTTCCTCATTCCAACATGGCTTCTGGTGCTTCCTGGATTACCAGGATATTTATGTGGTTCATAATTATCCTGTATATTTTCCCCATAACTGAAACCCAAATGATTTCTGCTAGCAAAGGATCTCTGCAGTTCATGACTTTCCTGAATGTTATTTTCACTTTCAAAATGGCTTCTTGTATATATCTCATTAGCAAAGGACCTCTGAAGTTCATAACTATCGTGTATGTTTTCCCCATAACTGGCACCATAAGGTCTCTCCAAGTCATGCCTTTCCTCTATATTGTTGGCAATTCCAAAATGGCTTCTAGTATTTATCTGATCATCAAAAGATCTTTGTTGTTCACGGCTTTCCTGTTTGTTTTTTCCATGAAAACCGTTATCAATCAAATCACTTTTGGTTTTTATCTTCTCAACAAATGATCTCTGTAGTTCATTATTTTCCTTTATGTTGTTTCCACTTCTGGGCTGTCTTCCAGCAACTATCTGACGACAAAATGATCTCTGCGAGTTATGACTTTCCTGCATATTTATCTCACTTCCAGAGAAGGTTCCGTTACTTGTCGGATCACCGAAAGATTTTTGCGGTTCATGAGCTTCCTGTATGTTCTCCAATCTTCCAAAATTACTTCTGCCATTTATTTGATCGCCAAAAGATCTCTGCAGTTCACAGTTTTCCTGTAAGTTTTTACAACTGATACCCTTATCAACAGGCATAACATCTGCAAGGAAGCAAACCCCAGAAAAGAATTCCGATAAGTCAAATTTAAAGACAACCACGAGTCGTGGGTAGTAATAACATTATTGATGCATAAAGAGAATCAAAGAATAATATAGAAGCACAGACATTACCATCCTGAACAAATGCTTCTGTTCTCTGCAAGGACTTTTGCAGCAGAGTAGTCTCCGCAAAGACCATCAGACTCAAATTCTTAACTTCTTCCTTATGAGATGGCTCCAGAGGCTTAAAGGAAAAGGACGTAGTCCACGTTTCCAACATATCTGGTATGGCAGGGATAATGAGCTTCTCCACATGTAGTGAACGTAGAATCTGCCGCAAGAACTACGCATGATTACACATCCAAAAACAGATGGAAACTTTCTAGTGTAAGTTGAATTTGACGGGAGAACCCTTTATTATTCTTGTGCTATAAAAGGATAAGTGTTTTGAGCAAGTGATTCTTCTGATGAGCAAAAAACAAAATTTTGAATGTTGATAGTAAAGATCACCTTTTGCTAGTTTTCGGCTAGCAAATTAAAACACTGATTTTCCTCGAAGTAGGTATACCCTTGTTAGGAGATTCTACATGAAAATATTCCTCAGAAGTCTATCTAGATGTCATTGTATTAGAATTATTATTCAAGAATTTTCAATTGATGTTTTGTGGACAATATAATCTAGCACATATGGCATATCTACCCTATTCAAATCTTGTTATAAAGGCAGAAGAATCTAGCATAGAAATTTTCAGAAAGAAAAAACTCATTTGAAGCTGAAGTATTCATTCATGACTATTGAGAAATGAATTTTTGTTAAAGATAAAAGTACAGTAGTAAAGAAAGAAAACTAATAAGGAAGATTTTATACATACCTCTTCAACTGCCCTAAGAAGGCGCCGACACATGCCTTGTTTCCGGTACATAGGTCTAGTACCAATGAAAGGCATTTCCGCCAATCTTGTCCCATGAAGCCTGTAAGATGGGAAGAGAAAGAAAGATACACTTAAAGCCTGTTGACTTGGCTATGAGCTCATTAAAAGTTGATAAGAAATAAAAGGATGCCTATAGCTTATAGTGCAAAATGAAGCGTAAACTCCAATGCATAATTTATGTAAATTCTTAGACAAGGACGAAGCATAAATATACAGACCTCAATGACGCTGCTGATATGATTTCCTCATCCCTCTCCAAAATCAAGGTGTAAAATCCTTCATAATTTAGACGATTAAAATTTGATCTGTGTAGAAAAATATTAATCAATTATCAATCAGGGCAACCAAACCGTACAAGTTAGTTTTTTTTTGGGTGGGGTTTTTTTTTTTTTTTTTTTTTTT